AAAGAGGAAAGGTTCAGGTGGTATGAAGTTATGCTATTTATAACTATTCATCTTTGAATCAATATTTTTACAAAAGTAATGAATGTAGCTATATTTTCCAGATATTAAAATAAGTTTATTTGTGACATCTGTTAATTTTGAGTAGAGTACAGTTATACTTTGATTTATATGTTTAGTCTGTAAATTTCAGGGATTCATGAATTAATATAGGCACTTTGAAAGAGCTCTGCTTCTTCCTAAAATTGAGGTAATGACCTTACTGTATATTTTTAAAAATTTGGTTTCCTATTTAGTTTTATTTTTTATTTGAGAGCTACTTGTTATACCTCTTGGTTCTTTTACTCAGTCTTTTTTGTTTGTTTGTTTGTGGGTACCTGTAGGTAGGCCATGGTTCTTATTTAGCCACATATATGGAATTAAAAATTGTTCTTATTCTACAGTGACTTGGACCATTCTCCAATAGTCTTTCCAATTGCCTTATCATGAACATCTTTAACACCATTTCTAAAGTAGGCTGGAGTGAAGTATTGCTTGGTAGCTCCAGGAAAGTTGTTCTTCATTTGTTAGTTTAGGATATTGTTTGGCAGCTTCAACAGCTAAAGTAACAGTGGCTTAAATTAAATTGCATGTTTATATTTCTCTTATATAAAAATACAGCCTGGTAAGTGGTCTTGGGTTGGTGTTATGGCTCTGCTCCATGAGTTTTCCAGTGACTCAGACATTTTGTTGCTACATCATTGGTCTATGGTATTATTCTCAATTTCATGGCCGAAACTAGTTCACCACTATCATCTCCACATTTTAGCCCTTAAACAGGGAGAAAGGAAATAGAGGACTGGCATCTTTTGATCTGGTCCTTTCATGCCCACTCCTACTTTTAATCCTTTGGCCAGAACTTAGAAACATGGCCATACCTAGATGCCAGGGAATCTGGAAATGTTGTCTTTGGCTAGGCAGCCTTCTACCCAGCAAAACTTGGGAGTTCTAATATTGAAAAGAAGAAGGGGGAACTGGAGACAAAAATCAGTCTCTGCTACAATCACTTTATCTGAAATTTCATCGTTGAAAAATTAACGTTGTCTTTTCAAATTTTGGTATCTTTAGATTTTTGCTTTTGAAACTTTGCTGCTTTCTCCAAAGAAAATAAAATAGCAGGATAGAAAAATCCCTTGTACTGGCTGAAATTAGCTGATAAGAAAGAAGTTTGAAGTGGAGAGGCTGGGTTTGGGGGCAGAGCAGGCATGTAACATCAGAAGAAGGACATTATAGTTAAGTAAGTGGGCATTGGTGAAATGGAAGCCAGAAGCTACTAGCGTTAGCCTTTTACTCCCCTCCATATTTCTCTCAGGGGTAGACCTACTTTCTTCCATTGTGTAGGAAATGAATGATCCTCTTTATTTCCTATGTTAGGGGACTGTGCCACAAGGATCCCGTACCATGGGAATGAAAATGTGAATTGGTTGAACACAAATTAATTTCCTGCTTGAGTTGCAATAGTTCATGGATTTCAATTCAATGTACATATTTTGAGCATCTCTTCTGAGCTGAGCATTGTGCCACACCTTGGATAAACAGAAACAATTTAGACTTGGTCTCTGTCCTAGTAACTCATATTCTAATAGGGCAGAGAAACAGGGCTCTAGCAATGACACATGTTCTAAATGCGAAATGCTATGGAAGTGGGAGAGAATTACTAACTTTATCAGGAAGTGCCTACAAAGGCTCTATAGAGAGATAACATTTGACTTGGAACTTGAAGAATGATTCAATACCTACCCTTGAAATTATGCCCTCCTGTTTTTGCTTCTAAGAATGCCAAATGTAGCAGCAAGGAAATGATGATAATTTTGCCACACCGAAGTCAAATGATTTAAAAAACACCATTCTTTAGTGCCCATTTTCCTTATTAAAGTTAACATCCAAAAATGGAAAAATAAGCTTATTTTCCCCTCAGTAAATTAGGATAATAATTTCTTTCTTGCCCAACTTTGTGAGTTTTCGTCAGGTGCCGTATATTAATGTGCCTAGCACAGGTCCTAGAGTAACATAGACAGTTAATAAATGGTAAGTATTCTAGTAATAGTTTTCATTGCTTTGGAAAACCAATACTCAGTTACTTTGCTAACTTTTAAAAGCACCGTTAATTGTAGGAAAGAATGCACATAATTTAAATCATAAACTTAAAGTCTTTCCAGGATTCAACAATTTTAGCGTATACTGCTTTTTGAGGAGACTTTTCTTGTTTGTACGTTTAGAATATTTTATGAGCTTCTGAAGCTTGTATGCTCAGTCCTTTCTTTTTTCCTTCTAGAGCTCATTTAATTGGACTAGATAAGCTGCATGGACTCCCATTACAGTAGCACAGGATAAGTGCAATTTGAGAAGGTGGCTTTTACAATAGAGATACTGAAAATGTTAAGGTTCACAAAATGCAACATTCTTAAGATCATTATCTTGTAAGCTATTCAATTTTGAGTCTGGATTGGGTTGAAAACCAAGACCACTTCCTTGATATAAACCTGCTTATTCGATAGGTGCCTTGTTAATCTGCTTTGGGAATTGGCAGACCTCTAATAAGAAATTATTATTTGGGGGAGCTCCTAAAGTGATTATAAGAAAATAGTTAAAGATTATTTACTCTTGGCAATATTATAAA